TCGAGGAGGGGGTATTCACCTTTGTAATTGGTATGAACTCTGTTTCCACGAGAATCTCAGAATAGTTGTATAAAGTCCTAAATTTTCCCCGACATTCTAACTTCCTTTCAGAACTATTTTTAAGTAAATTTTCAATGTTGAGGTTTTTCAAAGTGAAGCCTGTGGCCCTATGTTGTGAATTTTGTACTTAATGTGCTGACTTGATTTCTTTTATGAATTTCTGTTTCAAAATTGTTGGTGCATATAGTTTAGTATTCACCTTATCATTTCCCATGCCTTTGGTAGCATAAAGAGGTGGCATGGTTAGTAATAGTCTATAACTTAGGCATCTAAAAAGGTTAAAAAATGTCAACAACTCTCCCAGTCTCGATGGCTTGTTAAGACATGCTAGTTAAGTGATCTAAGTTTGATTTAGATTAAGCGGTGATGCAGTGCCAATGCCACTGCATTCCTTTGCACTAACTATAATGCAGTTTGTTCGGCAATTGATCCTTTTGTTGGTGGTATGTGTGCCTCGTCTTAGTGGATGACCGCAATCTGCGGGTAGCTGATTTTGCTCAGTTTTGGGCAATTGCAAAGGTATATTCTCAATTCTTTCTTTCTTACAACCCTAGCCGTCGTGTACTGAAGTGGTGACTTAAATGTGGGTGGCAACATCATTTATTTAAGTTTGAGTTTTCCAATGGGTTTGTTCATGGTGACTTTAGTATGTAGTTTGGAATAGGTAGTGATCAGGTTGACAGCATAAAAAGGCAGATCATTTCTTCAGAACTGATGTTGATGTAGGCTGTACATTATTTCATCCACATTTGAGTCTTGGTCATGCCGTTGAGACAACTTGAAGTTGTTGGATTATTTTTGCTGCACATGAATTGACGCACCAGCCAATTCCTATGTGGATTTTTCTTTGGATTCTCAGCCCTAGGGCTTATGACCTTCATTTGAATTTTTGATGTCCATATGGTTAACAACAGTTTATGTGCTTATGTTGTTTCCTTTTGTCAGTGTTATTATGGATGTTCGCAGTTGATTTCATGCATCTTATTGGTTTACTTTGTCATTTTGTAATCATTCTCCATTTTTAACTGGATCCATTGAGGGAGCTTTTATGAAAATCCCATGGTTCATTTTCCAAAAAAGTTGTGATTTTATATTTTATTTTTCTTTGTGTTTTTACATAATTATTTCAACATACTTGGGATGCTTGTTGTTCTTGGCCTGCAGTGTTAATGGTACTTTCATGCTTCCTGTTGATAAACACAAATCTTGTCAATTGGTGTAATACTCAATGCCACAGCATTGCCTTTTTATTCACTAGCAAGTCTTTAATTTTGGGTTTGTTTTGGTAGTTTTCATATAGCGTCATGCTAGTCTGTTCATAAAAGTCGCAGGAGATCAAAGGAAGATCATAAAAACCTTTCTCTACGCTACTTTGCTGCTTCATACAAGGAGATTTGGCTATTTTCTGATAATATTTTGTGAATTATGCTTCTTTTTATTTATTCCAAGGAAAATCAACTACCACAATTATGATGATCTCATAACTAATTATCTGAGGTTCAATGAATATAGTTTTTATATAGCAGATGTGTTACTTTTTACATAACCCATCATGAAAACTTGTTTAACAGTCGAGAGAAGTAATCTGAGGCTTTGCTGTCTACTATTTTATTTTCTTATATTTCTTTCTTTCTCTTGCTAGAGTTCGGGCTATGAAGTTTACATTTTGGAAGCTACGTATAGGGACCCGACAGTAAGTCTTTTTCTCCTATCTGTTGTTTTTTTTACTGGTGTTCGTCACTGAGTTTCCCCCTTCTATCCCCCTGGATTGAAGCTTGGTTCAGTGGAGAGAGAGAGCGTACGAAATAGTATTAGCGAACCATGGTCCGACAGAAGTGTGCTGATGTACAAAAACTATTACAATTAGTATAACAGCCTTTTTTAGATACATACAATGATTTTACCAAAATTCTATATCCTTTCCATTTTCTGTTCTGCATTATATGCAGTTAACTCTCTAATGGGTACCTCTGTTATTTAATAATCGATAAAACTCAATGTCGAAATGATTTAATTGTCAGTCCCCCATCCTGGTAAATTAAAATTATATTTTTGCCACTGCCTTTAGAATTGAGGCCTTATCAATTGAAAACCATCGAAAATATTCCTTATGATTTTTTCTTCTATGGGGAATGTAGGGCTGTGCAGCGAGGAATGTGCATGGATTTAATCTCGATGATATACAAAAGATGGCAAGACAATGGGAAGAAGCTCCGGCTTTGTACTTACAATTGGACATCAAGGTTCGTTGAAATCAAGCATGAGGTTTTGTTCATCTTTTTTAAAGTTGTTTTTTCATTCAATAATATTTCGAGATAGTTTGAGTGATGAGGTTGCCAAGATTATGTCGAATTGTGATCGACGTATTTAGTGCACCAACTAATTTTTGGCATGAATAATTTGTAAGAAAACAGGAAAACTTCCAAATTTCATTCTGATGAGAATACATAAACTTTGGGAAAGGAAAGAAATTGCCAATTTGATTCTTTGATAGATAGAGGTGATAAAAGACAACTTTTTACCTGTAATGAACGTTTTTCTTTCAATTGTGATGACTTGCAGTCCTTGTGTCATGGGGATGACCTTAAAGAAAGTGGAATTAAGGAGGTAATGTTTTGTTTTGTTTGTTTGAGCAATGAAATTTTGAACTAATCTTATATATTATCTTGTATGATTTATCCATGTCATGTATGTCTGCCAGGTGGACATGGATATGGAGGATGAAGATGATGATACTCCATCTAGTTTTCAAGAAACAAAGTCGATAAAGACAGCATTACATCCACAAAGAGACGATGCTTCTGAAGGTATAGTCAGCATGAATGAAAAAAAATTCATATATGCATTTATCAGGAGTTGATATATTATGTTATTTTGAATCCTTTTCAATTAGTGGTAGGCTAACAACACACCAGTACAGGTCTGACTCACAAGTAGCGTAGCCTGATTCATTTTTTGGTTTCTCACATCACATTTTACTGCAGATGACGGGAAGAGATGGGACGAAGAATCGGACCATCGGAGAGAGGAAGTAAAAGAGTTGGGTAGGAGTAAATGGTCAAATGATTTAGATGATGATGATACTGAAAGAACAGATGGCGCGAATGGTCATGCAAATGCTCTTTCTGGCTTGATTCAAGCATATGCCAAGGAAGGAAAGTCCGTGCGCTGGATCGACCAGGTTTGTGTTGAGTTTCATCTTATTCCCCAATACTGTCGATAGAATGGTCTCTCGATTTCATTTTCTCTGTGCTGTTTGGTATCTTTGCCTAAACAAATCTGGTTCGATCTGGAAAATTCTTGAACGTAGAGCATGTATTTGTCAATGTCATATTTCCTTTCCATAATGTTCAGCAACTTCCTGTTTGTATGTTAATTAATGTCTTCATGTACATAAGTTTTTGGCTATTCTTTTAATCGAAACGCTCTTTTTCCAGGCTGGTTATACCGGATTCTCGATTGGTGCTGCGAAAAAGGCAAACAGATTATCTTTAGTTATTGGTCCTGGTGCTGGATATAATCTGGTTAGTCATTTACTTAGTATGAGCTATGTTGTAAAATTGTTCTTATTCTCATTTGGTACAAAATTGCAGAAGTCCAACCCATTGCCAGAAGAATACCAATACCGTGGCTCAAACCAAAACAGCAATGAGTCGAAGAAACACAGCAGATTCGAGGAGCGATTGCGTGCTGAAAGCGAGTCATTTAAAGTCGTTTTCGATAAAAGGCGACAAAGGATAGGAGGACTAGATTGGGAAGAGGAGTAGGGATTGTTAGAAGAAGCATACAATTTGCATAATGAGATATATTCATTTTTTGACATCCTCTTGTCACCTTGAAACCCGGTGGGTGGGTGGCTCAGTGTGTAGGGGTCTGAAAGGCAACGTTTTTCTTCTCCTGACGACCATTTTGGTGGTCAGATTTGTGTAATGAATAACAAAGTAATTTCCTAAGTTTAGTATTTTCGATCTTACTGCCTCGTCTGTACAGTTTATTTGTTTGTTAATATGAAATTGATATTCAGAAGAATTGAACTCAAGCTATACTCGAACAACGAACCATTTCTTTAAATTGGCTAATCGAGATTGAAGGATCGACTCATTAACTTTTTAAATAATAATTAGGTTGTGCTCAAATTGACTTCTCATCTTGTCTCATCGAGGTAAATAATTGACATATTGATTCTAATTAGTTTTTCACTCTAAAAATTAAATCATTACATATATTAAAGTTTAAGGATTAAAGTCTCGTTTTGTATTAGTTAATGTTCACTACTAGTTGATATTGTTTTTTCGGACTTTTTGTTACGAGTTTCTCCTCAAGATTTAAAACACCTCTACTAGAGAGAGGTTTTCACATTGTTATAAGAAATGCTCCGTGAGATCTCACAATCCACCAACTTCCTCGCTAGTACACCACTTGGTATCTAACTCTGATACTATTATTGTGAGATCTCACATTAGTTGGAGAAAGGAATGAAACATTCATGGTGTGGAAACTTCTCCCTAACAGGCACGTTTTAAAACCATGAGGCTGATGATGATACGTAACGGACCAAAATGAACATATGATATCTCACAATCCACCCCTTGGGGAGTCTAACATCTTCGCTGGCACACCGTCCAGTGTCTGCCTTTTATATCATTGTGAGATTCCACATTAGGAGGAGAGGGCAACAAAACATTCATGGTGTGGAACCTCTCCATAGTAGACACGTTTTAAAATTGTGAGGTTGACGACGATATGTAACGGACCAAAACAGACAATATATACTAGTGATGAGTTTGAGCTGTTACATATGCAGAAAATACAAAGAAATCTTAGATTATGTTGTGCAACAAGTAGGCGAAGTCTATAGCCAATAATAGTGAAGTACATACTGATTTACGGCAACAACAGCTATTAGGTGGCATACATAGTTGTGTAACTTCATCTTCAATCTACATATTTAGTGCTTAAACCTCTGTTACATTACAGGGTTGGGTTGAACTTTAGATATCAAAACTCTCCCAAAAAACTTGAGTTAACAGGGTTGGTTCCTTGTGCATTTTAGAGGCCCTGCGAACCGTGTAAGCCTTGTGACAAATGTTCCTGGTTTTGCATGGATCACATCTTTCTTTGAGTATTTTCTTATGGGGTTCCCAGATTCCACGAAGAAAGCTCCATTCATCAGCAGATCTCCTTCTGATCTCCAATTCCATGTTTTCCAATCGCTTTCTGGTGCATATACCCTTTTCGTCACCTGGTTCGTTCCAAACAAGCGGGTCAAGACTTTGTTGGTGTTCCAAAATTCGTTAAGTATGGGGAAGATCGTGGGTACGTAAGCCTGAGCCTACTGCTAGTAGATATTGTCCGCTTTGGCTCATTACGTATCGCCGTCAACCTCACGGTTATAAAATGCGTCTACTAAGGAGAGGTTTCCACACCCTTATAAGGAATGCTTCAATCCCCCCTTCAACCAATGCGGGATCTCCCAATCCACTCCTGTTGGGGTCCCAGCCTCCTCGCTAGCACATCGCCCAGTGTCTGGCTCTAATACCGTATGTAACAATCCAAACCCACTGGCCTGTTACGTATTGTTGTCAGGCTTACGGTTTTAAAACGCGTCTATAAGGCAGAGGTTTCCACATCTTTATAAGAAATGCTTCATTCCTCTATCCAACCAATGTGGGATCTCACAATCCACCCCCTTGTAGGCCTAGTGTCCTCACTAGCACACCGCTCAGTGTCTGACTTTGATATTATTTGTAATCATCCAAACCCACCGTTAACAGATATTGTCCGCTTTGGCATGTTATGTATCGTGTTTTAAAATCGTGAAGCTGATGGCGAGACATAACAAGCTAAAATGGACAATATATGCTAATGATGGACTTGAATTGTTACACGTGGCTCTGATACCATTTGTAACAGTCCAAACCTACCATTAACAGATATTGTCCACTTTAGCCCGTTACATATCACGATTTTTAAAACCATGAGGCTAACAATGATACATACCGAGCTAAACCAGACTATATCTACTAGCAGTGGACTTGAACGGTTACATGTGGCTCTAATACCATTTGTAACAGTCCAAACCTACTGCTAATAAATATTGTCCACTTTGGCCTATTATGTATCACGCATTAAAACCGTGAGGCTGACGACGATACACACTAAACTAAAGCGAACAATATATGCTAACAGTAGGCTTAAACTGTTACACGAAAACTCATATTCAAAGTGAATAATATCATACCATCGTAGAGGTCGCTCGTCATCAACCTATCAACCTACCTATCTACCTATGTGGATGATAATCAACTGAAACTTGTTACCTCTTTGCAATTTGGGTCTGGTGGGGCAATGAAACGGTTCCCCTGGCTGATAATGGTGGGGTTGCGGCTGCCACCGATGGCATACATAAGCCAATGAGTGTAGTCATTATTGACCACATGGACGAACCCCCATCGGCATCTAGGCATCCTCTGCACCAACCCTTTACCAAAGTGATTAAATGCAAGCGTTACCTGCATAATCTGGTCATCCGAGTGGCTATCACTTGCCCCTAATAATATCACCTTCATGAACAAGAACACCTCATATCAGTACAATCATCAGCAAATTTCATCGCGTTCGAGAAGGCGAGCTTAGAATTACATCGTTATGGTGAGCGAAATGGCAGTTGGAAATGGTAATGGCAGTCGACGCCATGACTGCATCGATCAGTCCGTCTTGACAATTAGACATCGAAACATGATCTATCCAAACATTCGAAGCTCCAAAAATGGAGATCCCGTCTCCATCGCTCCGCGTTCGAATCCCGTAATGGTTCACCGAGTCTCGAATAAGGCCTCCATTGCCAGCTTTGATGTCATGAATATGCAAATTATGGATGATTATGTTCTTCACAAATTGCAAAGTAATTTGACCACCATTAGCTATATGGACATTGGCACCACGTCCATCTAATGTCTTGTTATCAGTCATTATAAGCTCTTCAGCTAGCCTGATCACCATGTCATGTGCAAATGTAATCCAAAGTGGTCTGTCTTGGATCACGGCATAGCGGAGAGTTCCGGGTTTAGGATGAAGCATGTCGTTATCGCTCGAATCTTGAACGACGTAAAATCTTCCATTTTTGCCTCCTGTTGTTCCTCGGCCGAACCCGAGCGCACAATCAGCTAGCTTCTTACGGTTTTTAGCCCAGTTTTTGTCACATCTCCAGCATCTATCAATTGGATTTGTAGCTAAACATGGACCATTGTATTTCCTCAAATGTCTCCTTGTGTTATTTGCATCATCTAAGTCTCTGTCCACGATAAAGATACGGATTTCGTTAACATACAAGTTCAAGAACTAAATGGTTACTTTCACGAACACGAGAGCTGGAATTCTCGCACCTGCCAATCCTTAGATCCATCTGCAAGGAAGAAAATAGAGAGAGAACCCGAGACGTTTTCTGGTAGTGTTTTCAATGATGATGTTATGTTTATATTGAAATTATGATTTTAAAGATGATGTTCTAAGAGTTAAATTTCGCATAAGAGTTTAGGTTAAGATGATGGTAGCTGACTTTTGGTAACAGAAATCTAGGGTCGTTACAGTTGGTATCCGAGCTTGACACCAGGTTTTAAGATCAAACAATTCTATCAAATTGAGTATGATTGTATGTGTGATAGCATCTACTATACCAAGAATATCAATAAACCCAATTATTGAAATTGTTCACGATATGCCAGCGAGGAGGCTGAACCCCGAAGGGGGTGGACACGAGGTGATGTGCCAACAAGGACGCTGGGTCCCACATCGATCGGAGAAGGGAACGAGTGTCAGTGAGGACATTAGGTCTCGAAGGGGGGTGAATTGTGAGATCCCACATCGATTGGGGAGGAGAACGAAACACCTTTTATAAAGGTGAGGAAACCTCTCCCATTAGAGAAGGGAACGAGTGTTAATGAGAACGCTGAACCCAAAGGGGGTGGATTGTGAGATCCCACATCGGTTGGGGAGGAGAACGAAACACCCTTTATAAAGGTGTGGAAATCTCTCCCATTAGAGAAGGGCGAGAAGGGAACGAGTGCTAGCGAGAACGCTGGACCCAAAGGGGGTGGATTGTGAGATCCCACGTTAGTTGGGGAGGAGAATAACAAACACATTTTAAAATCCCCCAAGAGAAAGCCCAAATAAGACCATATCTAGCCGTAGTGGACTTTGACCATTATACGAAGAACACGAAGAACAGGAAATTACCCGTTAACATGCTCATTGAAATTCTCAGTGACCTCTTCAGGATGGGGTTGGTAGGCCTCCAAGGCAGCCTTCTTGGCTTCTTGAGCTCTTTGCTGCCATACTTCATCAAAATCTGCAATATCAGCCTCAAGGGTTGGAAAAATGATAGCAAAAGCAAATATCAGCAGCAGCAGCTTAGCCCCAACAATGTTGCTTTCTAGCTCTCTCATAACTCTTTACTTTGTTAAGCTTTTTGTTAATTCTCAATAACCCATTTGAATTTGGAGCTAAAATGTTGAGATTCATTAAATAAGACAATGAGAAATGGAGAGCAAAAAATGGGGAGCCATCCCCTTGAATGGTCAACTTTTCATTTGCTTTCTTTATCCATTTTCAAGGATTTGTGCAAATATGTGGATCATATGATCTTGGGGTTGTTTGAAATTACACTTAAATTAACATAGATTTACGACGTAGTCGAGTGGGACATGTCCGTTTGAGAAGGAGTGACGATCCAGGAGATGTAAACTTAGTGTCACGAACTGTATTTCGAGGCTTGAGTCTCGAACTGTGACTTAAAAGATGAAAGTGAAAAACTCAATATAATTTAATTTGGAACATTTTTCATAGGTGTGAGATCTCACATCGGTTGAAGAAGGAAACGAAACATTGCTTATAAGAGTGTGAAAACCTCTCCAGTGGACGCATTTTAGGGAAAGCCTGGAAGGGAAAGTTCAAAAAGGACAATATCTGCTAGCGGTAGGCTTGAACTGTTACAATAGGAGTACACGAGTGTTATCCGAATGTTTCGAGAAGTTTCTTTTTCATTTTAGTCTTTTACCATACTTAGTAGAGATTATACTAAGATTAAAGTGTGACCCAAAATGTGTATGTAGCCATGTGTATGGGACCTTATAACCTAAACTCGGTTGCAAAAACCCTATTCCGGACATATGCAAACCCTATTTGCGAAAACCTAAACTTGGCAAAACCTTACAACCCTGAAGGGAAAGTCTAAAGAGGACAGTATCTACTAGCAGTGGGCTTGAGCTGTTACAATAGAAGTACCATGACGGACTTTATTCGTTTCTCGAACAAGCGCCATTAGGATGTTCAGAAAAAAATTCTCTCGTTTTGGTCTTTTACCATACTCAATAGAGATTGTACTAAGATTAAAGTCGAGCCGAAAATATGTCTATAGCCATGTTTATGAGACCTTACCACCTAAACTCGGGCTAAAAAACCTAAGTTCGATGGACCTTACAACCTAAACTTATGAAACATTTGCATGCCATTCCTTTAAATTTTTATTTTATTTTTATCTTATTTTCTTCCTATTTTCTTTTTAGTTAATTCTTTAATTAAAATACATATTAACAATAATCCATTGATAATATAAAATATTAATAAAAAAATATTTAGGATGAAAATTAAAACTAAGCTCAAAAAATTAAATTAAAATTTTAAAATCACATAATTAAATACAAATTAACTTAATGAAAACATATTAAAATAGTAATTAAATATTTTTATATATTATTTCTTAAAAGATAAAACAAAAAGAATTTTGAAAAAGAAAATAAAGGAAAAAGCAATGGGCACTATTTATTTTTTCCGCTATCAGCGCCTTTTCTTTTCCCCTCTATTTCTGTTTCATACCAAAATGAAGCCATGACGACGCCGGATCGGCCTCCGCCGCCCAAGGCGGTCAGAAAGCTCATCGTCGAAATCGCCGACGCTCGAAACCTTCTTCCCAAAGATGGACAAGGAACCTCCAGTCCTTACGTCGTCGTCGCTTTTGGTGGCAAGAGGAAGCGGTCTGCAACTAAGATCCACGAGCTTAACCCTACCTGGAACGAGACGCTGGAATTCATCGTTTCCGATCCCGATGATATGAACTACGAGGAGCTCGAGATCGAGATTTTCAACGACAAGAGGTACGGCAATGGCTTTAGCCGGAAGGATAACTTCTTGGGGAGGGTGAAGCTGTACGGAAGCCAGTTTACGATGAGAGGAGAAGAGGGTTTGGTTTACTATCAATTGGAGAAGAAGAGTGTCTTCGGCTGGATTAGAGGCGAAATTGGCATTAGGATTTGTTACTTCGATGAGTTGGTCGAAGAAGATCCGTCGCCGCCTCTGCCGCAGGAAGAGCAACCGCCTCTTCAGGCTGTGACTGAGAAGCCGATAACTCCGGAACCTGTGATCGAGGAATCGAGGACGTTCGAGGTTCCGCCGCTGGGGGAGGTCGGTCGGGTCGATTCGAACTTACCGCCGGTGGTTGTTATCGAGGAGTTTCCGCGGCAGGAGATGCCGGTACATACTGAGCCTCCACCCGCGGAGGTACAAGCTCCACCACCGGCGGAGGTATTTGCTCCACCACCGGCGAGGGTACTTGCTCCACCACCGGCGAGGGTACTTGCTCCACCACCGGCGAGGGTACTTGCTCCACCACCGGCGAGGGTACTTGCTCCACCACAGGCAGAGTTACATGCTCCACCACCGGCAGAGTTACATGCTCCACCACCGGCGGAGTTACATGTTCCTCCACCCGCGGAGGGACAATTTGCTCCTGAAATGAGAAAGATGCAGAATAACAGAGCAGGATTTGGGGAAGGGGCTAGAGTTCTGAGAAGGCCAAATGGAGATTACGCTCCAAGAGTGATTAATAAGAAATTCATGGCCGAGACTGAGAGGATTCATCCATACGATCTTGTGGAGCCGATGCATTATCTCTTCATCCGCATTGAGAAAGCCAGAAATGTTGCCCCGAACGAGAGCCCCTACTTCAAGATTCGCACATCAGGCCATTTCAAGAAATCGAATCCAGCTAGTCATCGACCTGGTGAACCGACTGATTCACCAGAGTGGAACCAGGTATTTGCCCTCCGCCATAACAAATCTGATACGGCGAATAGGACATTGGAGATTTCAGTCTGGGATACGCCATCGGAGCATTTCCTCGGCGGCGTTTGCTTCGATCTATCCGATGTACCTGTGCGAGATCTGCCCGATAGTCCTTTGGCCCCTCAATGGTACCGCCTCGAAGGCGGAGCCGGAGATCAACAACCCTCTAAAATTTCCGGCGACATTCAGCTTTCTGTTTGGATCGGAACTCAAGCCGACAGCGCATTTCCAGAGGCTTGGTGCTCCGATGCTCCACACGTGGCTCATACGCGCTCGAAGGTTTATCAATCTCCTAAGCTATGGTACTTGAGAGTTACAGTGATAGAAGCGCAGGACCTTCACATCGCTCCAAATCTGCCTCCATTAACGGCACCAGAGATACGAGTCAAAGCACAGTTAAGTTTTCAGTCGGCTCGGACCAAGCGAGGGTCCATGAACAGCCACGGCGCTTCATTTCACTGGAACGAGGACCTCGTATTCGTCGCCGGCGAGCCTTTCGAAGATTCCCTGATCTTACTTGTTGAAGACCGGACAAGCAAGGAGGTCGTACTCCACGGCCACGTCATGATTCCGGTGGATAAAATTGAACAACGGTTTGACGAGCGATACGTGGCAGCAAAGTGGTTCTCATTAGGAGGCGGCAACGGCGGCAGAATCTATCTCCGACTCTGCTTAGAAGGCGGATATCACGTGCTGGACGAGGCTGCGCACGTATGTAGTGACTTCCGGCCGTCGGCAAAGCAGTTGTGGAAGCCAGCTGTTGGAGTTTTGGAGCTCGGGATTCTCGGAGCTCGGGGGTTGCTTCCGATGAAGACTAAAGATCCGGGAAAGGGGTCCACCAACGCTTACTGCGTCGCGAAGTACGGGAAAAAATGGGTCCGAACCAGAACGATGACTGACAGCTCTGATCCATGTTGGAACGAACAGTACACGTGGCAAGTCTACGACCCCTGCACCGTCCTCACAATCGGCGTCTTCGAAAATTGGCGAATGTACTCCAACGCGGCGGAGGACAAGCCCGATAACTATATCGGAAAAGTACGAATTCGGGTATCAACACTCGAGAGCAACAAAGTCTATACAAACACGTACCCCTTGATGGTGTTACAGAGAGCAGGGTTGAAGAAAATGGGAGAGATCGAGCTAGCCGTCCGGTTCGCTTGTCCAGCATTGTTGCCAGAGACGTGTGCGGTTTACGGCCAGCCATTACTTCCAAGAATGCACTATCTCCGCCCAATTGGGGTGGCTCAACAAGAGGCGTTAAGCATAGCTGCCACGAAGATGGTGGCGACTTGGTTAGGCAGGTCGGAGCCACCATTGGGCTCGGAGGTGGTTAGGTACATGTTGGATGCGGATTCACACGCGTGGAGTATGAGAAAAAGTAAGGCAAATTGGTTTAGAATTGTAGATGTTTTGGCATGGGCGATTGGATTGGTCAAGTGGTTGGATGATATCCGGAGATGGAGGAACCCCATCACCACAATTCTTGTTCATACACTATATTTAGTTCTTGTTTGGTACCCAGATTTGGTTGCCCCAACTGGGTTTCTGTATGTGTTCTTAATAGGAGTTTGGTACTATCGCTTCAGACCAAAGATACCTGCTGGAATGGACACACGACTGTCGCAAGCAGATGCGGTCGATCCAGATGAACTAGATGAGGAATTTGACACAATTCCGAGCTCAAAACCACCAGATGTTATCCGAGTTAGGTATGACCGACTAAGGATACTAGCTGCTAGAGTCCAAACAGTATTGGGAAATCTTGCAACTCAAGGGGAAAGGGTGCAAGCATTGGTCAGCTGGAGGGACCCTCGAGCTACAAAGTTGTTCATTGGGGTATGTTTCACTATCACATTGATCCTCTACGTTGTGCCACCGAAAATGGTGGCGGTGGCGCTTGGATTCTACCACTTGCGCCACCCCATGTTCCGGGACCCTACGCCGTCGGCTAGTTTGAATTTTTTCCGGCGACTACCGAGCCTATCAGATAGGTTAATGTAGAGTAGAGTAGTGGTTTAATTGTATTGAAAGTGCATTTTTTTCAACCTTTTTGTGGGGCTTTCCATAATTACACCCCAAATTGATGATGGGGGTTGAGCTGGCTACTTCGGTGGCGGGTGGGGAAGGGAGTTGGCGATTGAAAAGGCGAAAAACAAAGAAGAAAAAAAGTTAAACTGGTTTAGTTGAAAAAGATATCCTGAAAATATCATGGTAAAGTGTGAAAGGGAGCAGAGAAAAAGTAGCGAGCTGTAATCATATTGTTTTGTTCTTGGAGTTGGATTTCGATTGACTAACTATTTCAGATTTTTGAGAGAGAAAGATGGAGGGAAAATAGAGTATCTCATGGTGAACAGGGTCGATAGCTTTGGTCTTGAAAAGTTGGAACATCACAAGTCATTGGTAGCCATACATTTTTCATTGTTGAACTTGTAATTCTTTTGAGTATTGATTGTTTTTGTTACACTTGACATTGGAAAATGTCTTCAAGAAATCAGGACCATCAGAAATAAATTGAGACAAAGAAATTACCAAGTCGTGTGGCGGAATTCTCGGCAACCCACATCAATTTCTGGCCATTGGGTTGCCATATTTATGGAGATGAGTTGCAGAGCCAATAACTGCAGAACAAATCATCCAGTTTGCTTTCAATTTTGTCATAAAAGAGTAACTGCTGATACTACCTCTCAGCAATTTCAGGTTTTCTCTCTCCACCATTATTTTAATACTGGATATGAATTGGCCAATTTTCACTTATTATCACTGTTATGTTAGGAATCATAAATCTCTGCCATGGTATGTTATTATGATATTGTCTACTTTTTCATAGCTTTGCTTTGGACTTTCCTATACTACCTCGTACCAATGGAGATCTATTTTACTTATAAAGTCATGATCATTCCCTAAGCTATCCAATGTGGGACTCCCTCCCAACAATCCTCCTCTCGGACAAAGTACACTATAGAGCCTTCCCCGAAGCTTTTGGAACCCTCGAACAGCCTCCCCTTAATCGAGGCTCAATTCTTCATTGGAGTCCTCGAACAAAGTACATCCTTTGGAAGGCCTATGGTACCCTCAAACAACCTCCCCTTAATCGAGACTCGACTCATTCTCTAGAGTCTTCGAACAAAGTACACCGCTTGGAAGGCCTACGGAGCCCTCGAACAGCCTCCCTTATTTGAAACTCGACTCGACTCGACTTCTCTCTGGAGTCCTCGAACAATATACACCCTTTGTTCGACACTTGAGTCACTTTTGACTACATTCTTTCTTCCAGGCTCACAACTTTTTCTGTTCGATATTTGAGGAGGATTGTTGGAAGGGAGTCCCACGTTGGCTAATCTAGAGAATGATCATGTTGAACAAAATAGTCTATCGGTTTGGCATGGCATGAAAACTCATCTTTTCTTGATATATCCAATAAGAGAGAGATCTTGAATAACACATTATAATTGTTGGAGTGTTCAGATTAAATATAATGGGAGGAAACTCAGAAGAGAAGCACGAGGATAAGGTTGAGAAGAAGGAGAAGAAACACGAGGAAGAAGGAGATGAGAAAAGGAAGGAAAAGAAGGGAAAAGATAAGGATAAGGAAGGAAAAGAAGGTGAAAAGAAAGAGAAGAAGCCAAAGGATCCTGCGGATAAGAAAGACCCAACAAAACTCAGACAGAAACTGGAGAAGCTTGAAGTTAAGATGCAGGCTTTGGCGGTTAAGAAAGAAGAGGTCTTGAAATTGCTCCATGAAGCTGAACAGAATGCTGCTGCTGCCCCTCCGCCTTCCTCTTGAATCCTTCTACGAGTACCTCTCTTTCACCTTCTCTTTTATTGAAGCATATATGAATAAAAAGCTTTGAACTAGATCCTCCCATTTGAAGTGATCTGTTTAGCACAACTGTTAGTCTATAACTATGAGTGCTTTTGGGGAGAGATTTTCACTTTTATTATAAGGAATGTTTCGTTCTTAGTCTCCAATCGATGTTGATTTTACAATCCATTTCTTTTGGGTGGAGGCCCAATGTCTTAGCTGACACACAACTAGTTATTTGACTCTAATACCATTTGTAATAGCTCAAGCCCCCGCTCCCTTCCATCTTCCAAATCTCCTCCAATCCAACCACGTGCCCAATTATAGATTTTGTCAATTCTCTAACCATGGCTGTCCAATTCCATCCTCCAGTTTCAATCCCCCCACCATCATTGCCAGACGGTGTGTATGATCGATATTCGATTGACGAAGACAAATAAGCTTGGATTTGCCATGACAATGATGGTGTATATTGAATCATCTGTGACACAACCGACTAACTGAAGTCATTTATTCGACCTTGCCTTTACTTAGGGTCCAAGTCTCTCAATACAACATCACTTCCAACAGTATCTTAGTATTCAATTAACATGACCCATATATCTTGACGTCATCCCATATCATGGGGTGTTCACTCATTCATGCGATCGACAATAGACCCACTTATAGTTTATAATCTTGAAACTTCTCAAATATATACAAAGGGATGCAATGAACCTTACCTCGTTGTCAATATATACAACATTTTACTTCACTTATTTTATATTTATATTTATTTCATAAAAATTTCCATAATTTCACCCTACCAATATAATGTAGTAATTTAAAATAATTCATATTAATTGAACCAACACCAAAAATATAACCATCACAAGATTTTAAATTTGTTATTTTGTAATTTAGCATTTTGTTGATTATGATTGATGAAGATTACACTTGGAAAATGATCAAAGAAAATTGAGGTTGTGGGGTGTTAGGGTAAATTCAATAAAAACACTCGAACAAATTAAAAGACTAATTTGCCCTTCAACAAAATTATATCGATAAGCAAACCAATAGAAAAATTAATGACCAAATGAGGCAATAAAGCCCAAATTTCCTCGCCAATATCGTACGAGGCCCAACAATATCCTCAAGTTTGTGTGATCTCGATTCTAACTCTAAAAGGAATCAACAAAACGCTAATTGAAAGATATAACATGAGAAAGAAACTTCAACTAATTTCAGAGTTCTGCATAATTCTTAAAATTCTTGCTACACTAAATTTTTCTTAACTAAAGCACTAAAGCTTACGTAAAGGGCAAACATGTAATTTTACGTGGAACATGCTCCATGTGTTGATACTAGAAGGCCCCATCAAGCCAATATGGAGAGATAGAAGGGATTGGTGGACCCATAAGCACATGATGGAAGCTACTTATTGGATAGGGTTCCTTGGTTTTCTACCTCACATTTCCCTCGTTTGCCTTCTTGTCATCTCCATCTTCTCTCTCTCTCACCTTATTACCCCCCTTCCCATTTTACCCTTATCCCGATCATTTACTCGAAAACAAAGGGGTTATAAATGTGTGAGTAGAGATAAATCATGTTAAATAAACTCGCGTTGATTTGTGAAAATAACTTTCACTTTTATAAGTAGATAACATGGTCATGTCGTAGGAGATACGGGAGAATGTCAGAGCTATCGTACATCAAATTTGAACTTTGAATCTTGGGCATGAAGCGTTATAGATAGTAGAACCTCCCTAATGAGATGTAGATTGAGAACAAACCAAGGCAAAAGTTGGTGAATATTAAATAAGATAACCCAACAAGGGTATTGTGGTAATTAGACTTTTAATGAGAAGGTTTTTGCTGCTATCGTTATAAGCCCACCAAGTTCTTCCTCCGACGGGAGGGAAGAGAAAAGCCATCTCTTGATCCTTCTTCTTCTGAGTGATGGGTGTGAACTGCCGTTGTTCTGAAATCATAATCACCAGCTTCTTTCGCCACAGACCCACCGGATAATCTTATCCGTTCTGTCGATGGCGGTTCGGAGGGTCTATGGCGGCGGCGACGACGGTGGTAGTATAAGTGGTGTTTCTTCCAACCATACTGTTTTTCCTCAGAATCGTAAAGGGTCCTCTGTTTCTGAGCCTCTTAATGCTCTGTTCGTTTCTGGGTCGTCTTCTTCGACTTCCCCCTCTATGCTTGGTACTTCATTCTTCTTGATTTCTTCAGTTCTTTCTGTTCTTGGATGATTCTTTGTAGAAATTATGGTTTTGGTTACCCTTTGGTTTTATGTGTTGATTGTGAGTGAATTTTCAATGCTTGTGGCTTTTGAATTGGATCATTGATCTCGGATTTTGAAGTTGAATTTGGTTGCCTTTTGATGAGTTTGCTATCTGACTTTGTTTGTTTTCTGCTTGTTGGATGAATCTGATGTTCTAGCAGTTCAATTTTGAAAATGAATGTATGAGATTGATTGATTTCATTTGACATATATCATTTATCATTTGGGGAGTAAAACTTTCCTAATGGTTTCGAGAAAATATATGCTAGGGTTGAGTTTGAGCTGTTACAAATTATATTGAGCTAAATGTCGAGCAATGTGCCAATGAGGAGGTTGAGCCTCGAAGGGGTAGACATGAGGCGGTGTGTCAACAAGGACGTTGGGTCTCGAAAGGGGGTGGATTGAGGGATCCCATATGGATTGGAGAAGAAACGAGTGTCAGCGAAGACGCTGGACCTTGAAAGGGTTGGATTGTGAGATTCCACGTCGTTGGAGAGGGGAATGAAGCATTTTTTATAAGGGTGTGGAAACCTCTCCCAAATAGATTAACAACCTTGAAGGGAATCCCAAAGAGGACAATGTTTGCTTGCTAGTGGTCGGCTTGGGCCGTTACAAATGATATTAGAGCCAGACACCGAGCGATGTATCAGTGAAGACGTTGGGCCCGAAGGGGGGTGGATTGTGAGATCCCATATCGGTTGGAGAGGAGAACAAAACATTCTTTATAATGGTGTGGAAACCTCTCTTTAACCGACCATTTTAAAAACCGTGTAGAGAAGCCCAAATAGCTGTTATAAATAGTCCATTGCGATTATATTCATGCCCAACTTGATCTTTTCATGAAAGATTTTTCTAGTTATAGGTTCAAAATCTACGGTAAGTTTCAAAGATATCCATGGACGAAACGGATCAACTAGACCGTTCTTTTACTCGTTCGATACCGAAGATAAAGGAAACGAAGACTTGGATGATTATTTCCATCACCCTGAAAAGAAGAGGCGTTTAACTTCCGATCAAGTCCGATTCCTAGAGAAAAGTTTCGAGATCGATAACAAGCTCGAACCAGAAAGGAAAGTTCAATTAGCAAAGGACCTTGAGCTGCAGCCTCGTCAAGTTGCTATATGGTTTCAGAATCGTCGAGCTCGGTGGAAAACGAAGCAGCTCGAGAAGGATTACGAGGCTCTTCAATCCAGCTATGGAAGCCTCAAGGTTGAGTATGAAAAGCTACTCAAGGAGAAGGATTCACTAAAAGCTAAGGTAATATGTTCTTAAAATTCAGTTCCATTGCTGGGTAAACTCTAAGAAACAATACATTGTATGTTACAGATTCTTGTCCTAACAGACAAGCTGCTACTCAAAGCAAAAGAAAAGGGTAGCTCTGTGGTGTCTGAAGTAGACAAATCTAGTGACATATTTGATTCAGATAGCCCACTCGTAGAGCCTCGAGATTCTTCGTATATTTTCGATCCCGATCAGTCCGACTTATCACAAGACGAAGACGATAACACGGGAAAGAATCTATTGCCTACTTACGTCTTCCCAAAGCTCGAAGATGTCAATTACTCGGACCCGCCTGCAAGTGCTTGTAGTTTTGTATTCCCCATTGATGAAGACGGTGCTCTTTGGTCCTGGTCTTAGTGAGCCTTTTTCTGTGTTGTGCCTTTCCTGTACAGCCTTAAAGCCTGTTTTTCTGGTGTTTCCAAGCAATGGTAGCCCACGCCTGCACCCACCTCGACATGTCGACCCGAACCGGGTTTAGTTTCTGTCGATTTGAAACCGTTCTGTTTATGTTCTTGGGTTTTGGTTGAGGGAGGTTCCTTTGAATGTGATTAAATAATTTCTTCTCAAGTAGGGTAATGGATGCTTTTCATTCATTCTATGATACTTTTGAAGAGATAAAGGTTGTCTCCAACCTCGGTTGGAGGTATATTACAATCCACCTCTTTAAAGGCCCAACGTCTACGTTCGCTCACTGCCAAGTGTCTAGCTTTAATATTATTTATGTGTTCGTTGGCACAACTTCAGTATCTAGCTCTAATACCATTTGTGTCCTTATTAGCACACCGCTCGGTGTCTAGCTCTAATATTATTTGTAACAGTTCAAGCGCATATATTGTTCATTTGGCCTGTTATTGATCTTACCCTTTTAGAAAATAGTTAATAAAAATAATAAAGAAGGGGATACGTGGTGGGGATTTATTGGGTGTAGGAAAGGTTAGGGAAAGGCTTGAGTTACCTTATCCGTCGACTGTAGAAAGGGTAAAATGCGAACGAATGAGAGAGCGACGCGTGTAAGATAATACCGGAGATAGCCGGTTTAGATCGACGGACCACAAAAGCCCGGAACTGAGGGGCTTCCATAGAATAGGGACACGTGTGCACAATCTTGTCAGATTAAGGGTTGCAAAAATGAGGTTTTATAAAACGACAGGACCGTCACCATCAATGTGGGGACAGTCACTGCACAATGGTAAAAATAAAAAAATAAAAAAATAAAAAGAAAACCCCAAAACCTCGTCTTGGAATCTCCATTGTGATCGGGCCCACTGACGTGGACATGCTTGACCACCTGGCAACTGAACCGTGACTAGATCAGTCAAAAACACGGCTCGGGTCCCGCCACTTAATAAACCAAGGCGGGAAGAAAATATAATCTCCATCGCTAGCTTCGTTTTCTATCTTCTCTTTCAATTTTTATACCCGCGTTATCCTACTAGAGATTGTATTTGAATTGGAGGCTGTGCTTATCTTCGAACATATATGAAATGGTATAAAGATGGACTAAGCAACTTGTGGATGTACCCATAATTAACGACGTTACGGTCGGACTATCGAACACAAAACCAAAAGTGAATTACGAGTCATACCCTTTTGTGAATCGAGCAAGCTCCCTAATATGGTCAATAAACCTCTCATTTGATTCAATGTTATCTAAACCGAGCAGGAAGGTTTTCGAGAGCATTATCAAGAGCCGAACACAAATTTTAAAATTCAAGCAATATCATATCCACTTAGCTAAACTCGATCATCCTTCGTGATTCTAAATTTGGATATTTATTTTTAAAGATTAAATGAGATAATCTTCAACTTGACAATTACAAAGAATTGTTTCCATCAGATCATAAGAGACTGTTCATGGAATCAAAGCCACAAAAAAATGAGCTTTAATTTGGGAGACTTTCAGTAATGGCTGCTCAATCCTTTACTGATTCTTTCAGAGCTTAAAATTTGATCTTCTCCTTCAACAACACCACTAACTCTTGCTGCAACCAACAAAAAAAACATACCCACTAAACAAAAGTACAGGGACAGGGACATCACTTGTACTAAGTTCAATACAACATTAATTTAATCAAACAAACTTTTTATCAACAAAATTTGATAAGTTTTGAGAAAGTGTGAGATCCTACGTTGGATGGAGAGATAATGAAATGTTCCTTATATAAAGATGTGGTTCTCCCTAGTAGACGTTTTTTAAAACCGTAAGACTGACGACGATACGTAATGGGTCAAACCAGCCAATATCTACTAGAGGTGTGTTTGTGATGTTACAAATGGTATCAAAACCAGACACCGGACAGTGTGCTAGCAAAGATGTTGGCCCCCAAGGGAGTGGATTGTGAAGTCCCACATTTGTTGGAGAGGGTGATGAAGTATTCCTTGTAAAGGTATGGTTCTCTTTAGTAGACATGTTTTAAAATTGTGAAGTTGACGACAATATGTAACGGACCAAAACATATAATATATGCTAGTAGTGAGCTTAAGATGTTACAAATGGTATCAAAGCCAAGTGAGCTTTGACTGTTACAAATGGTATCAAAACCAAACATTGGGCACTGTGCTAACGAGGACCCTGACCCCAAGGGAGGTGGATTATAAGATCCCACATTTGTTGGAGAGGGGAATGAAGTATTCCTTATAAGGATGTGGTTCTCTCTAGTAGATGTATTTTAAAACCATGAAACTGACAACGATATATATCAGGCCAATGTAGACAATATCTGCTTTCCATTTACTAATCTCATCTTTTACGGAATCGATCCTCTTTTGATGGTGAGTTTGGGCTATTATAAATGGTATTAGAGCTAGACACGGGGTGGTGTGCTAGCGAGGATGTTGGCCCCCAAGAGGGTGAATTACGAGATCTCAAGAGGAGAACGAAGTATTCTTTATAAGGGTGTAGTTCTCTCTAGTATACGCGTTTTAAAACATGAATCTGACAAAAATACATAACGGGCCAAAGTGGACAATATTACTAGCGGTAAGCTTAGGCTGTTACAAATAGTATCAGAGTCAAACACCGAGTGATATGCTAGCGAGAATGTTGGCCCGTAATGGAGGTGGATTGTGAGATCTCACATTGGTTAGCTAGTGGAATGGAGTATTCCTTATAAGAATGTGATTTTGTCTAGTAAACGCATTTTAAAACGGTGAGGCGAACGGTGATACGTAACTGGTTAAAATAGACAATATCTACTAGCTTGGGCTGTTACAAATAGGATCAAAGTCAGACCCGAACAGTTTGTTAGCGAGGGCGTTGGACCCCAAGAAGGTGGATTGTAAGATCCCACATTTGTTGGAAAGGGGAATGAAGTATTCCTTACCAGGAGTGTAGTTCTCTCTAGTAGACGCGTTTTAAAACAGTGAAGTTGACAGTGATACATAACAGGCCAAAACGGACAATATATGCTAGCGGTGGACTTACTCTATTACAAAAAAAAAAAAAAAAAAAAAAAAAAAAAAAAAAAAAAAAAAAAAAAAAAAAAAAAAAAAAA